TGACAATGACCCAAAGCACACAGCAAAACTGAGCGCACAGTGGTTAAAGGAAAACAAGGTGAATGTACTTGCATGGCCTAGTCAGAGCCCAGACTTAAACCTCATTGAAAATCTGTGGAATGACTTGAAAGACTGCAGTCCACAAACCCTCACCATCAAGTTTAACTGAACTTGAGCAGTTCTGCAAAGAAGAGTGGCCAAATATTGCAAAGTAATTAGAGACACATCCCAAACTAAAGGCTGTATTTAAAGCAAAAGGTGGTTCAACAAAATAACTTTTTCCAACTTTTTTTTTTTTTTCTGACATGTTGGTGTTATATCTTTCACTTGGATGTTATAAGTTGCACTGAGTAAATATAGCTGGATAAAACAAAAACTGTGTTCAGGCTGCAAAGCAACAAAATTTAATTATTTTAAAGGTGGGGTGATTCTTTTCTATACCCACTGTATGTATATGTGTGTGTGAGCTATTACATTTTCTTTTTATATTATTTTCTTTTTTTAATATTATACGTTAACATTGCTGAAATATGAAACACCAAGTAAATAAGAACAATTCAAATTTTTTTTTATTGGTAAAGTAATTTTTAGCACCTTTTTTTTCTTTACAGCTCTGCTGAGAAATCCTAATGTGCTAAAGTGTAAAAAATGTGCTAAAAAGGTGTCCTTCTAATCCTATTGGGATTCCACATCACACTCTTAAAGAAAATTCTCACTTACTGTTTCTCAGATATATAGCTTGGCAGTTAGGTTAAAATTAAGTTTGTGTGTGTGTGTGTGTGTGTGTGTTTGAGAGCGAGAGCGTATGGCTACTGGGTGTCCATTCCTTTATTGCCAATCAGGTGTCTCTAATCTAAAGCATGCGTAATGTGTTCTTAACACTGTTAGCCTGATTAATGTCTGATAATAACCTGCTCAGAATGACAGTCCGCTCCGCCTTCATCTGTTTAATCTAATCTGCTCTAATGCTATTAGCACTATTAGATTTCTCACACACATACACTCAAACACTTATTTATTGTTAGTGCTCATAAAATATCAGTTCAGAGAGTGGCAGGGCATCGCTAATCCGTCCATTGTCAACTTCCATTATGAGAGACCGGCCATAGTGGCGAGGTACAACCCTTCGAGCCTGTCACTGTATATGTGTGTGTGGTGCTATAGGATTCTTTGTTCTCTGCAGACTTCTGGGACCAGGGATTTATTTTTGTCTCACCTAAACCGTGTGTGTGTGTGTCAGATGTTAAGTTGTTGTGATGTATAATTCAAAGGTTCTTTGTAGAATTAGATAGGAAAAAGTGTCATCTTTCTATCATCTTTCAGTCTGTAAAATGACTCTTCTCTGAAGATGAGTTATGTTCCTAAAATCTGTGTAGTCCTTTTGCCTAGCCTTTGGCTGGATTTCTGTAAATGTTTGGTTCAATGCAGAATTTGATATATATATATAAGAGGTATATGATATATGTAATTATAAAACTATACATTTATAATTCTATTGATAATTACAAATTTTGTTTAGTTTAATATATATTTTTATATTTTCATATAATTTCAAAATAAATGTATAATTTTTTTTATAATCAAAATATATTGAATTGTTTTTTTATTTTAATAAAATATATACTTTATAATTTCACATTTCTATTTACAATGATGGTATATATTTTCTAACTTTATAAATTAGTTTTTTTTTTAATAAAATGTATACTCTAATATGATTTCAAATGTGTTTTTAAACTTAGAATTGTAATAAAATATATAGTAATTATAAATAAAAATAATAAATTGTAAAATATATACTTTATCAACAAGACAAGTTTAAAGTTTCCATGAAATCAAAATTTACTATTTATTTTTATTTTTTTGGAATGTTGCCATGATTATCATAAATGATTTATCAATGCACATCATTATTTTAAAAAAAAACGTGCCTGATTAGCTTGCAACACCCACTTTCTATGATCCAATTCCTTATGGACAAAATAAAGTCCTGTCCTTTTTTCGATCAATAAGCTACTTCACTTGGATATTTACATCACAATAATGAAGAAAAGTGGATCACAATTTCTGTTTTATGTGACATTAAGGCTCCATTGATGCTGCATTTCATGTACACGGAACCAAATCAGCACATTGCACATTTATGCAGAATTTGGAAGCGCTCAGAGCAGCATTAACTCTACAGTGTGAAGACTTTCATTTACCTGCACAGCTCCTAAACATTTCTGCACTGTGTTTGTAGGAGGTGTGCCACTGCCTGGACACTCTAGGATCTCGTGCACAGTGTTTTGATGTGATACAGAACGCCATCATTAAGAATCTGGTGAGTTGAACGTGTGTTTTTCTGCTGAATGTTTTGCATACGAGTGGGCAGTGGAGCAAGGCACGGTTTGCAGTGACACTCTCTTCGTCTCTGCAGTGTGGACTCGTGGTGGTGCCAGACTGTGTGTGTGCAGCAATTTTAAGGTGTGTTCCCCGGTTACTGGATGTCAACTTCCTGCCCAGCGACACACTCCTCCACTTCCTGTCTGACTGTTGCCTGAGCATGCTCAATCTGCTGCTACAACTGGAGCAGAGCGCCCACAAGAGGTGTGCTCACAAACACGCACACCCACACACTCACAAATATTTGCATAGAGTAACATTTAAACACCACAAAGTGTGCACGAAGAAAGACTGTTTGATAATACAGCATACAAAAGAAGTTAGAAACAAGACTGGGGAAAGTCCAAAAAGGGTATTCATACTTTTTCAAAATAAAGTTACTTGTTTTGATGCTCTTAAAATTCCTAAAAAAAAATAAAGTTTGTGTCAACAAACTATTCATTCAGCAACAGTATTACAGTTTTTTTATAAAATCGATAGGACACATTTCTCGAAACTTACAAAACTCTTAACACAATTTTCTTTACTGACTTTCAGCTTGGCACAGCAGTAAATTTCACATTCAGAATGCACAAAAACTACCAAAACACTTCATACATGATTCGAATTAAGTAATTCTTCCATAACATTAGCAATGGTTGTCAACCAACACCCAGAGAACACTGACCTAAAAACAATAACATGCAATGTTTTCTTCTCTAAAATGTCTTTACAAAACTACTGTTTAGAATTCACTGCAGTATATGTTACGTGGTCCATATTTACATTACAGTACTAAATTATTACTACCTTTCTCCTTTTGTGTAGATAGTAATGAAATTGAAAGACTAACACATGTAGGTGTTCAGCTACCTCTAGTATTTCATTTTTTAGTTTTAAAATAAATATTCCAATATGGCATTGCTGTAGAAATTTAGCAAATTGCTGCCTTATACAGTTTTATATTAGGTTTTGAACTTAAGTTTAACAGTTTTTAAAAAGAATATGTAAATGTATGCAAATTGGCCAGTAGGTACATAGTTTTGTCTTGAGTATGAAAATAATTCATGTAATTTGAAAGATGTAGTCACTGAATGTATTTTGTGCCAAAACAATGGAAAATGATCCACAGTTGTGCTCAGTTTGTTTAGTATTGAAAAATGGTGATTGTAAAAACAGTTTTTTTTGTTTCTGTAATATGAGAAGCGTGTTAATTACAATAATTTAAAATAATATATTTATGTAATTAACAATGTAATTAATATATCAACAAGTTATATTAATTAGTTACATTTTGCCACCTTATTTCACATAGTATAGCACATAGTCTTAGTTACAAACTGGGGCTTGTGGTTAAAGAAATATGATCTAGAGTTGTCCAAACAAAAAGTGTAGTTGTCAAAACTTATGTTTGTCTGTCTCACCGTCAGGGATGCCGTGTGGGAGGCGTGTTTTGCCGCCTTGAGCACGGTACCAAGGCTGCTGCGACTGGTCTTGCAGTCTTTTCGCGTGTGTGACCTTTGTGAGGAAGAGCTCCCCGTGTTGGCACAGATCCTGTCATTACTTCTTCAGCATACTCAATTACGCAACCACATGATGGCCAACGCCAGTCTACTGCAACATATCATACAAGACTTAACGGTACACACACATATATGGCTCCTTATGACTGCACATATCCATTTCAGCTTTGCTTTAACAGATAAAACTAGCATTGTTTACCCTACCTTAAAATAGATTTTATAATACTATGTGCCTTGAAATTGAGCTGCCGATACCGTCTTGACTGTTGTGCTTCTGTTTTTACAGCATTTCTATGGTGGAGAGACTCGAGAGCAGTGGCTGACTGACTTGCTGTACTGCTACAGTGTGACTCTGTTTGGTCACCGGGCCAACATGGGCATGAGGGACATCTATTAATCACTGACTGTTATAGTGTTCATTGCTACAACATTTTTTTTGTTCTTTCTTCCAGTTCAGTCATTTTGTACAAAATAAAGAAAACACATCTTGTGATAATGAGTTGATTAGGCTCTTTCATTGTTCGATATTTCAGTTTATTACAAAAACATTTATTAATACAGACCTGGAGAGGGATTTTTTCAATAACCATTGTTTTTGTCTGGTAATCAATAGAAATGTAAGTGGTGTGAAATAATGTGGCATTTACTCAAAGCAGCTGGAACAAAGACATCTGCTGTTTTAAAGTTTCTAAAAGAATCTTGAATTTAAAAATGATCCCCACCCCCACTACTGTTTAAAAGTTTGGGGATAGTACGATCCTTTTAAAGAAATTAATACTTTTATTGCAGTAAATTAATCAATAATGACAATAAAGACATTTGTATTTATAAAAGATTGATATTTCAAATACATTTTGTTCTTCTGAATTGTCGATTTATCAAAGGATCCTGAAAAAAAAAGTATTACACCCCAAACTTTTGAATGTTGGTGTATGTTTCACTAGTTTAAAAAAAGTATTATTCTCTCAGGATAAAAGACAAAGTCTGTGCGGTAACAGGACCTGCAACTCTGGCAACAAAATCTTTCACTTTTTAACACAAATTACTAAATCTATTTTAAAATAATACATTAATAATAATTTAAAAAAAAGAGTACAATGATTTATAGTGATAGATAAAACATTAATAATACAACCCACTCAATAAACGGGTGTGGAGTATAAGAATACTAGATAATGTCTAGATCTGTGGCAATATCAGAAATAGGCTGACATCTGCCTTGTGACATCTCGACTGAAGAGTATTAACACGGTGGTCTCCCATGCAGGTGGTCTTGTTATGCAAGTCCTATGTCACCCTTATGACAGGTATATGACCTGTTGTTGACAGAATGAAAGGTTATCTAATATATTTGTTGTGTTTGTGGTTTTAACCTCTAACCTATGCAATAAGCTGATACTGCAGATTTCATATGTAAAAGCTTAATGATACGGACCACGTGAGTTTACTGTACCTTAATGCAATAGTTTAAATAAACATCAAATGAGCTTAAGTGCATCATCCCTGTATTGCTTAAGCAAAGATTTGATTCCCAGAAATCCAAGAATGTCTGTGTCTTAGTTCTTGGTTCTGTTCTGACCGCTTTGACTGCCAGCACTGGATGGCCTTAGATGGTAAGAGTATTGCTTCGCCTGACTTGAAGTATCCACCAAGCTCACACACTCGACGGCGCTCACTGGGAATAAAAAACACGCACAAAAGATGTAACATACAACACAAAAGAACACAAGCAGTGATTATGAATCCAAGTACTCACACTGTTTGTTTGTTTTAAGTGACAGATCCAGCAGCGCTTGACTTTGGCTCTGTGGTTTAAGCACTGCAGCCCGCAACGTGTGCCCTCTTTTGGATGGGACGCCGCCTAGATCGAATAAAACAGGCGTTTATTGGTTTGGACATGGTCACATGCACATTTTGTTTTAACTTGAATGGATCAATATCTCCGCGTTAACGTCACGACTGATACTAGAGCTGTTAAAATAAGATTCAGACAGTTTGGTATCAAACATGCAGGTGTGTGTGAGCGTGCATCCATCTGGCAGGGGCGGACAGGGCGAGGGGAGGGAGGTCTGCATGTGTGAGCGAGAGGAGACAGCTCGACATTCCATCTGACAGCAATGAACTTTTCAAAGCGTTGTGACTGTCAGGGAGGAGCGGGGAGGGGAACAAGTGTCCGTGTGTATACGTGTATGTGTGTGTTTGAGAGCGAGAGTGTCTCTGGCCTGCTCAGCCATCATCACCTGTTCATGTCTGCTGAAGGTCAGTTGCGTTAACGGCCGAAACTCCACCGTATCAACTTATATGAAAGACGGAGGGGTGACGGTGTGTATCTATGTTGGAATGTCACGTAAAAACATAACACCCCTCTGTAATAATCTTATTAGTGATGCTTGTCCTACTTTTAAATTTAACTCTGGCTGCTTATGCTACTGACATGAATCAAAATCTAGGGCGGTGCGATATTGAAGAAAAATGCGATATGCGATAACTCATTAAATAATGTGATATTTGATATGCGATACGATAATGCTTAAAGTGCCACATGCTCAGATTATACAGTTTTACTCAGCTGTTGCCGAGTCAGTTCTGTGAACTTCTATAACTATCTTGTGTCATATATAAATGGTTATTTGTATTTATGTACCAATAGTTCCTGTAAAACCACAACAAATTCCTTGTGTTTGCGCACACTTAAGTGGTGAATAAAGCTCATTCTGATTCTGATTCTAATAAGAAAGCACCCCTACAACAACTTCTGAAAGTGAACAGTTGTGTTTTATTCTAGCATTACATAAAAATGTCATTTTAACATGAGTTTAGGAACTGAATAATAAAATAAAAAACTGCTTAGTATTTACTCTTTGAATTCAATATGCACTGATTCTTATTTAAGCTACAAAAGCTATTTAGGTAAGAGCAGTGAGTGATTTTCTTTGTCTTTTGTTCATGGCCCCAAATATTGCAAGCTGTAGCGATATGCATATTGCGATATGTACATTTGCGATATTTCGATAATTTCAATATATTGCACAGCCCTAACAAAAAGCTAATTAAGAAAAAGGTATCCTATAACTTGTATAAGCGAACAGACATATGTGACCCTGGACCACAAAACCAGTCTTAAGTCGCTGGGGTAGATTTGTAGCAATAGCCAAAAGTATACATCTCAATTTCGAAAAATTGACCCTTATGACTGTTTTTGTGGTCCAGGGTCACATATGATTTAGTTATAATACATAAATTTTTTGCATCAGATATTTGGAAGAATATATAAAATATACAATACCGTTCAAAAGTTTAGGATTGGTATTAAGATCTGTTAATTAATGTTTTTGAAAGAAGTCTCATGTTCACCAAGGCTGCATTTATTTGATTAAAAATGCCAATGTTGAAAACAGTTCCGCTGTTGCATATTTTGTGGAAACCAAAACACATTTTTTCAGGATTCTTTAATAAGTAGAAAGTTCAAAATAACAATTTCTTTAAAATAGAAACCTTTTGTAACTGTATAAATGGCTTTCTTGTCGTGTTTGAACAATTTTATGCATCCTTGTTGAATAAAGGTTTTATTGAAACAATTTTACTGACCCCAAACTTTAAATAAATAAATATATATATAAAAAAAAAAATAAAAAAAAATTATATATATATATATATGTTCAAGAATATATTCCTTGTATAACATATTCTTAATATAATATATATATTCCTAGACAGTTCCAGAAATACATCACTCACCATATATATTTTGCAGCACAGAGCTCTTTTTCCCTACATTCCTGGTGGGAGGAGCTTGAACGACAGAAGTTTTATGATGGGTGTGGTCATGAGAGATAGGCCACTCCCATAATAGCTGAATCAACAGGGATGTGACTTCAGCAGACTCCGCCCCTTTCCCAGTCTTGCACAGTAACTTATGAAGATGACTCCGAATACAAGACCTGAATGGAAAAACAAAATGTTACGCTTTCATACGCACCAACAAAAGCAGCAACAACATATTAAAGATGTACAATCAAACAAACCACATTACTGTTCACAAAAAAGGACTTCAAGAATGTGCATATACCTTGTTTTGTACTCTGAATCCCATTATTTTAGTAACGCCATTGAAAGAAAGTGCACTCATGGGCCTCCATTACACTCCCTACACACACACAAATAAATAAGAGGCCTATTCTGGTGACATCTCCTTGGAGGTGTTGATGTGCTGGTGGGCACAAAGCCATGCCACAACTCAAACAAGGAAAGATGGAATCTGCAGACTTTTCTTGCATTTTCTGTGCTGATTTGGAGGAAAAACTGATTTAAAAGGTAAGTGTGTTTATGTAAGTGGTGGGAAACCTGCCATCATTTATTGTCCATTTATTTATAAATAAATAAATTTGAATTAAATTGTTATAACGTAAAATGAATGAGCCCTCAGAGTGATCTGTGAGACAGAAGAGACAGTAGCTACATTTATATGCACTCAAGTAATTGAATTGATAGCTCAATCAGACTGAAAAGCCTTCATTTAAACACCTCAATTGATCAGACTGAGCTTGATCCGAATGGAATTTTGATCAGATTCAAAGAAGTGGATTGAATCGGATTGGCTTCATTCTAGTGTAGGAGACTAGTTTCTAAGGACAATGGTCAAACACAGAGTTTAACCATCATTAAACAAAACATTTGATTGTAGAATGCTGTGATTGGCCAATCATAATCAAATATCTCTTGTTAGAGAAATCCAACATTTGGGTTCCGTAAGTAAAAAAAATCATTCATTTTCTCCATAGGGAAACTGATTATTAACAATAACTTTTAAAAACAGACCTGTTGTGAGCTCTAAGGTTGTTAATCAATGGTATATGCTTTTGTTGAAGTCATCTGTTCGCATTACCCATGATGCTGTGCAGAAAATTCCACCAATCAGAGAGTCGCAGGAAGTAAATCACGCTATCGTGAATTACATATCACAATGCTGCTGAAAAAGCTGGCAGGCAGTAATAAATTCTACAGTGGAAGTAAAAAAAAAATAAAAAGACATCAGTACCTCCTCCATGCTCTCTGTATCACGATGGCAGCCTGGTTTTTACTATGGATGCTGTCTCTCTTCTTTTCTTTCTCAACTTGTTTTTTTCTTGTTCTGCCCATCCATCTCTCTTTGTCTTTTTCCTTCCCTGTATATTTCTGTTTCTCTCTGCCAGCCTGTTTATCCCCCTCAGTCCTTGATCTGTAATCCTTATCTCTGTGCATCTCTCTTTCTGCTCGTCTCTCTTTTTGTAGTGTGACAGAGGCGGAGTTGGAGATGTTAGATTGCTTAGATTTGTGCTCTGATGCTGGCTTGTTCCCCATGGACGCTTGTTTTAAATGGGCCCCTGTAGTCCTGAGTCTGTTATGTATTGCTGATTTGGGCGTTGTGGTGGTTTCCATGTGGCCTGATGCAACATGGGCCCCTGAGTTGACCGGTTTAGCACTGCCTGGTCGACTGGACCCAGCGGGGGATCGGCGCTCATATGTGGACCCACATTCCACAGATATGCATGTATCTGGGCTGCAAGTTTCCATCACACACTCCTCCTCTACAGTGCCTGAACACTTCCTGGTGCTCAGGGGGGTCACCATGAGACCAGAGGTTGCCAGGGGGAAAGAAGCCTCTGGTGTTTCAGCATCTCTTGTTCTGCGCTCTGACAGAGAAACAAAAGAACTGGTGTAAAAAAAGTGTAAAAAATGTACAAATAATATTATTTCTTAAATATAAAAATAAGATTAAACTAAATAATAAAATTATACAAAAAGATTAAAATGAAAAATGAATTAAGTCTGATCACAATAAATTAATCATAAAAACTGATTTAAATCAATAAAATGTGCATCCTACTAAATCCTTTCCATTACACATATTTATAATACAATTTAAATATTTATAATACACGGTATAAATTGGGTCTTTATTCATGAAAATATACAGTTGCCTTTTAAATTTTAGGATGGAGATCTCTTGCAAGATGATGATCATATTTGGGCTCACAAAAACTTAATCTTAAACTTAATTAATAATCTTTCTAAAAATGCAATAACACTGTTAATAATCTTTAGCAAATCTCAAAATTAATATGTTTTTCATACTGTACATTATAATGTTGCCTAAATTCACTTTGTGATGCATTTTGACGATTTTAGTTTTTTATTTAGTAAAAAATTTATTAAAAATGTAATTATTAATTATTATTTATAGCAATATTATAGTTTCTATTATTGGCCATTTATAGGCCATAAGGTGAAAATAATTATTAGCTTATATTATAAATTTTTTGACAAATTATTGCGCACTGCAGGTCTAACGGCACGCTATGTCAATTATTCCTTACATAAACTCACCAGTTCTATGTTTTTTCTCTCTCCTGCTCTGTGATTGGATATTATGAACACTGGGGGATTTTTTGTGTTTGTGTCCTTTCACCGCCACTGGATCTTTAACACTCTGCTCCGTTTCATCCCGTTTGTCCACTCTGACTTCAGCCAATGAGACGAGCTGCTTCTGATTTGCCTCAGCCAATGAGAGCTGCTGCTCAGCCTCACGTCTGCGCTCCTCCTCCCTCTTCCTACAGAAACAGAAAACACACACACACACATTTACTTTTCACAATTCATTTACTTCACACATACTTTTATCCTGTTAATGATGACTGGATCATTTATTTAATGTTTGTGCCTCTTGCTGCTGGTGACTGTAAGTTGACATCAAGTCAAGTATCTGGTTATGGCTGCCATAGTGAATATTCAGATACACTTAAACTCGTTTTTAAAAGTTTGAGATCAGTAAGATTTTTAAAGTAATTAATACTTATACTCATCAAGGACACAATCAAGGACACAGTAGCGATATTTATAATGTTATTGATCACAAGATCCTGGAAAAAAAATGTATCACGTTTTCCACAAAAATATGAAACAGCACAACTATGTTCAACATTCATAATAATAAGAAATGTTTCTTGAGCACTAAAATCAGCATATTAGAATGATTTCTGAAGAATCACGTGATACTGAAGCCTGGGGTAATGATGCTGAAAATTCAGCTTTGCCATCACAGGAATAAATTACATTAAATACATTCAAATCGAAAACAGTTATTTTAAATTGTAATAATATTTCACAATATTCCTGTTTTTACTGTATTTTTTGATCAAATAAAGCCATGGTGAGGAGAAGAGACTTCTTTAAAAAACATTTAAAAATCTCACCAACTTGTGAATGTTAATGCACGCCCAACCCATTTTCATTAGGTTCAGTTAAGGTTTTTAGAGTCAGCTACATAATGAATCTTTCGTCTGCTTTTTGTTGACTATTGTTTGGTACAGTAATATCTCATTCAGGTCAATATCTGAGTTTAAAAGGGCAGCATTTGTGAAAGACACTTGATGTTTTGAACACCTTTACCTAGCAGGAAACAAAAAAAAAAGAGTAGATGGATCGATTGCGGGCAGTATAACACTGATAAAAGACAGGGTTAGAGTGACGGATTACGCAAACAAGTTTAAAGGCAATGAAATGAATGTATGTTAATGTGTGTAAGCAGACCCTGGAAAGAGAGAACATATTCTAAGCTGTGTATGTGTGTATTCATTCATCCTCAGAGCTGACAGACTCTAAATGTCAAGCTGTTGAGCAGCTGAACGTTGCCCAATTAACAGAGGAGGGAGGATGAGTGAATCTCTCTCGCTCTTTCTCTCTCTCTCTATCGTCTCATCTATTTCCATTATTGACAGCAAGAAATTGATGCTCATATTCCTCGGCAGGCAGGTAGATAGATGAGCTGCTTCTGAACAAACACACATAATTAAACAACAGGTATTATATTCATGCAAACATTCCGTGTCAGCTCTGCAGATCAGCCTAACCACATCAGTCAGCAGTGGATTGTGGGTAAGAGAATATTTGCACCCCACCATTTATCTTATTTCTTTCTCTTCAAGGCAGAATGTGTGGGTTTATGCGAGTCTTACTTTGCAGCATCCTTGCGCAGTTGTTCGTGTCTCATGAGGAGCTTCTTGCGCTCTCTGAACGCCCTTCGGACCTTGTAGCCCTTGTAAAGAGCCTGGATGGACGAGGCGGCGATGTCCTGGATGGCGGCGATGGACAGAGCTCCATGCTCCAATAGAAATTGGGTCAGTTCCTGATGCTCTCCCAGCAGGGCATAGTCTAGAGGAGTGTACCTAAGCACAATGATTACAGTCAGTAGTCATTTAACACAGGGGTTTTTAAATGTTTTGATTCCAAGGACCCCACATTTTATATTAAAATAATTTTATTTACAATTTTATATGAAAATTTATATTCAAAATATATTAAAATTCTATATTAAAAAAATAGGGTCTGTAAGATTTTTTATGCTCACCATGATTGCATTTACGTGCAGCAAAATATTATTACAGTTGTAAAATAACTTTTCTATTTTAATGTATTTTATAATGTAATTTATTCCTGTGATGGCAAAGCTGAATTTTTAAGGAGCCATTATTTTAATCTTTAGTGTGACATGATCCTTCAGAAATTATTCTAATACGCTGATTTAGTGCTTATGAAACATTTCTTGTTATTATCAATGTTGAAAACAGCTGTGCTGCTTAACATTTTTTGTGAAAACTCCAATAAAACCTTTCCAGGACTCTTTGATGAAACAGAAATCTTTTGTAACATTTTAGTAAACGTCTTTACTATTTACTTTTGATTAATACAATACGTCCTTGCTGAATAAAAGTATTAATTTCTTTCAAATAATTACTTACTAAACTCACACTTTTGAACAGTATATATACAGTGCGTACATGTTTTAATAATGTATATGATAAATAAAAGGTGTTTACATGATTAAAATTATGAATGTAATTGTTTTAACAATTTTTAGATTCAAACCTGCATTCAGAACCTTAACCACCACTAGGCCACATCTCAAGAACCATGTACATGCATGAATGTTCATTACCTCTCCTCAGTGTGCTCCATATGGTTGGGAAAGGCTCCACACCCCAGAAGCAGCTTCACAGCATCCAGATAACCGTTATTACAGGACCAGTGGAGTGCGGTTCTCCCCTTAACAAATAAACATACACAAAAGTCAGATCTCATGCTATTCTTCAGTCTTTCTCGTTTTCATATATCCAGCAGGTCAGGACATGTTCTCGGTGTTAGCTTTGGGCTTTACAATCATACCTCCTTGTCCTGGATATTGGGGTCTGCATCATGCTGAATGAGCAAGGCCATGCAGTTGATGTAGCCAGCATATGCCGCACACTGGAGGGGAGTTCGTCCTGCGTGGTCCTGCAGGTTAGGACTGATCCCGTTCTCCATCAGCACCTCGCACACCTCCGCATTACCGCCCAGAGCTGCCCAGTGAAGTGCAGAGTGACCGTCTATGTCTACCAGATCAACACGTGCCCCTCCTAAAATGATAAAAATGCAGATTTACCGTGAGCACTCTGTAAACTGTTGTACTTTAAACAGAGAAATCTACTGATATTTTTCCACCAACATTGTGCCACAACAAACTTGCAAACAAGTCAGCCATGCTCTAGCGACGCTTAACAAAACTAGATTACTCCAATTATGATCAACAAAGGGGTCTAGCCACAATGCTGCTGGCTCTAGCTATTTTGTCCTAAATACATATAAAATTAAAATTACAAAAAACATGTTTGTTAATTTATTGCTATGAATTTTATATTTAAATAACTTACGATCATTGCATCAAAAGCAGCGCATGATGGAATGAAGACACTGAATCATAATATGAATGTGATAAATGACACTAATGTTAATCAAATAATTTGTAAAACAAAATATATAAAAATATACAAAAACAATGAAAATAATTTTATTTTAGACAGACTTAGAAAATAATGTCTAAAAAATTATATAAAATGTCTAAAAAAATTGTATTTCGTAATATTACATATATAATATAAAATACCATACGTTTCAAAAACAAGCCAACAAATAAATATAGTACAAACTATATTTTTAAGTGTATTTAAATATATTATGTACTATATTTATTTATTAGTTTATTTTTAGACAGACTATTTTCAAAGTCTGTCTCAAATAAAATTATTTTCATAGTTTTTTATTATTTCTCTGGCCAGCACCAATAGGGAGGGATAAAGTGTCATGTGTGCGCTTACAAACCTTTGATGAGTGTTAGAATGACATCTCGATGGCCCATCTCACATGCACGGAACAGAGGCGTGTGTTTCATTACGTCCAGCGGGTCCACCATGGCTCCCCGCTCTAGCAACAACCGCACAGTGGACACATGCCCTGAGAGTGCAGCCGCATGAAGAGCTACACACACACACACACACACACACACAAAAAGCACACAAAGACAGTGACCAAACCGTCAACTCTTGTTATGGCTGTACGGGGTACATACATAGGATATGGCTTGTTAATTGCTTGATTGAACAGAAAATGCAATTATCACTGATCTGAGCTGAAACTAACCAGTTTAGGCCAGGAATGGATAATTGTGTTCAAAATGACTATCTGTGTGTGTGTGTGTGTGTATAACTCTCTCACACACCTGTCCCTCCATATTTGTCAGTCATGTTTATGTCCAGGTCCTTTTTCAGATCAAGCATAGTTTTGATGACATCATCGCTGCCCTTCCCTGCAGCCCACATGAAAGCTGTTCGTCCCTCCAAGTCAGGCTCATCTCGCACCGAGGGGTGTTTTAAAAACACTGCGACTGTGTCCTTAATATACAGAGAATACAATAAATAAAACCAAAAAACCACCAGAAACAATTCAAAAATGCAGTAAGATATATAGTAATCATACATATTTACATATACATATATACTATAAAAAAACTCTACTATAAATTACTAAAAATAAATAAAACCATATATGTTTATTTATTTATAGTAATATATATATATATATATATATATATATATATATAATGATTAAACAAATAACTTAAACAAATAAATTACTGCTAATAATCCCAATAAAAAATTATCCGACAAGTTGAATTAATGAATGAACAAACAACCAAACATACAGTATATGTTTGTTTGTGTATATATAAATAGATGAATAAACAAACATATTTATATGTGTTTGTGTATAAATAAATAAATAGATAAATTAATGAATAAATTAATTAATTAATAAACACATCTACATTTGTTTGGATATATATAAATTAATGAATAAATTAATGAATAAATGAATCAGCGAACCAACCAACCAACATTTCAACTGACGTTCTGTCACAGCTTTTTCTAAAACTTTGATGGAGCCAAAATAAAAGAAATAAATGAAAAGCAAAACATTCATGGTCCAAATATACAAGATGTTATTTTACACACTCAAAAATGTCTTACAGCATAGTTGCTCTGAGCTCCATAGTGCAGAGGTGTTGCTCCCTGACTGTCTGATGGGATCATCCCAGACTTGTTCCTCTCCAACAGAAGGTGTACAATCTTAGCATGACCTACACAGACACAAACAAACCAGCGTTAACATCTACACGTTCAGCAAATGATTTCAATTCAAAATAATTTCTTTAAACAGTCAAATTATACAAATGTATGAGAATAAACATCTGTACCCAGCAGTGCCGCCCAGTGCAGTGGTGTCCTGAACAGGTTGTCATAGACTGTCACACTGCAGCCCTCGTATGATGTCAGCACTTCAACCACCGCCTCATTCCCATCAGCCACTGCAAAGTGCAGAGGGGTGCGTCCCTCATAGTCCTGCCAGTTCAGCAGGGACTCGGTGGGAGCAGCTTCCTACAAAATACACAAATACTGACGATACTTTAATTGTAATATTTGTATGTGTGAGGAGTAATAGTGAGGTAACAAGTGTGGACTCACCAGGATACAGCGTACCGTACGTGTGGCATTGGGGTGTTTGTTATGTGCCGCCCAGTGTAGAGGGATCTTACCCTCACTGTCTGGGATCCCGATGTTTGAATCGTGCTTGATCAGCAGCTTGACATGCTCGGGGTGATTGTAGAAGGCACTCCAGTGCAGCGCTGTCTGCTGTAGAACAAACAACATTCAATTTCAAAGATTACATTTCCAGTTTTTCTATTCACTCATGTTACACTGCAGCTACAAAGCTGCTTCACAGCCTTCAAGCAAATTTGGTCTTAATATGATCACAGCGAGCAGGCTGTCAATGAACAGCAATCAAAAAAAATAACATTATGGAGCTTTTCCAAGAGCAAAAATAAAGAAGTGCTGGTATTCGCTCTTTATCATATCACATCACATCAAACTAGTCAGCCAGCTCCCTCTGGGTTTAGAGGGCCAAAATCTTCTCATGCACAATACCACCAGGCCTAGTAAGAGAATATGTGGATTTTTTCACATTTTCTGTGCTGATTTTGGGTAAAATGTGTTTAGCAGAGCTGGTGGTACTACACTCTTATTAGGTGCTGAAAACATAATAAATTAGCCAAAATATTCAATAATAGACCACACAAGGATCAAGGTAAATATGGAACTGAATATGCAGGATGACAGGGAGTTCAGCAAGTGCACATTTCCAGAATGTCTTCCAGAACGTCATAATTGCTACTTGAAATCTCTGAATTTGTACTTAATTTTTTCAATTTAAAAAAAATGTAAAACAATACATTACAAGTATTGTATTTTTTTTATTTACATGTAAATGAAATTTTAACCAAATAAACTTTAAATTTTTATAAATAAACTTTATAACTTTAAATTAAAATATAAAATTTAAAATTTAAATTACAAAAGTTGAACAAAATTCAAAACCAAAATGTAAATGAATTTAAACTTAAATGTATACATTAAAACTTTAAATTAAAATGCAAAATGTAAATTTAAACATAAAATTATATATTACAAATCTATTTCGAGTAAAACTGAAGCGTAAAAGGAAAATCTAACATTTAAATTAATTAAAACTTTATGCATTATAACTTTAAAATAAAATGTAAGATTTTAAAATGTAAACAATTACAACTTTAAGTTGAAACTGAAAATGTAAATGAATTTAAACTTAAATGCTTATGTATAATTTTAAATTAAACTTAAAATGATATGTTATATACTTTCTCATATAATATATATCTACATACAACTTTCTCATAAATCCAGTTTTTTATTTTGCAAATGTGAATTTTCAAGTGCCTAAGAAAACTTGAATTGATGTAGGTTTGCAATCTCAGCTGTACACATAAAATCAGTGTTTGTCTATCTATATCAGTTGTAGATTTCCAATGGCACACTTTTTTTGTGTGTGTCAGGCTACTTTGGCTCTCTCAGCTCAAGACTCCTGGCCACAATCCATCCTTCCCAGTAATGCTAATATTTTTGTCTTCTGTCTGATAAATTGCTTGAGCTTTTGCTCATTTGTGAGTCACTTTAGATGAAGTGTCTGCTTAATTATTACATGTAAATATATGCTGGTCTCCAGCTTTTTTACAAGCTTTAACAGCTAAACATCTGACTCAACCAGCTTCACCACAAAAACCGTCTGCTCTGCAGTTTGATTCCGAAATCCAAAAGGATACCTAAAACCCTTTTCTCTTCATCCATCACTCAAGTTTCCCCAGCCACAAAACGCACAAACAGCCAATGTGGAAAGTGAAGACTGAAGACGCACTAGATGAGCTATTTCTGCATCTGGCCACAAAACAAGCCTCATCACGAGAAATCACGATTCTGCTTATCAAATTAGTGCAAAACCAACAGACGGATAAAGGCCTGCAAACAAAACTCCCTTATGTGACTCAATGGAAGCACTGATATGTTAGCGTAATCACAACCATACACACACACACACACACACATACACAAAGAATACTGATTTAAAACAGGAGCCTTAATAACCCTGGTAGCTTTGAGCAGTTTGTCTGTGGAATGAGATTTTAAATGACGGCGTATCTAAAGAGTCGCTGTATGTGCGTAGATCATCGGAAAGTAAACTGGTGTGAATGTTTACAGTAATTGGAGCCAAAGTGAATAAAGCTGCATGTGGTCTGGTAATCTGGAGCAGTTGATAGCAGTGTTTCCCAAGAAAGCACGGGGCCCACATACGCATCTCTCCATCCTCTCTTTTGCTTTGTGGTGACCAGCACATATCAGCTTATCTACTCTAACGCTTCTGTGTTTACTAATCCTAAATATAGTACTATAGCTGTTATTATTACTTGTATTATAGCTCATACAGTAATATTACAACTATTACAGTAAAGTAACACAGCCGTGCCGACCATTATAAAACTCTAAATATAAATAATTTAGAAATAAACAAGACCATACAGACTTGATGAAAGCTACAGCTAAAAGTGCTACCGCCAGACCCGGAGATCGGCTGAATGGATTCGAAAACGGTCAAACTCAACTGTTTAACTCTAGGGGAGTTGGAAAATGAGCCTATTTTCAAAAATAGTGGAGTCTTCAAAGGAATAAATTATATTTTACAACATATTAACAGGAAAAAGTTATTGTAAATTGTAATAATATTTGCAAATGTGCCACTTTATTTCTTGTAACTGGAACTTTATATCTCACAATTGCAACTTGATCAAAAATTTAACTTTTTCCATGATTGCAACTTTATTTCAAACAATTGTGACTTTGTTTCTCATAATTGTGATTACTCCCTATAAATTAGGGCTGGGCGATATGTCAAAAATATCTTATCGATAATCGCCTTTAAAAATATTGTGATATCCGATAATATCGTCTACGTAAGCCCCACCTCCACCACGCCCCGCCCCCGCCGAGACAACATTGCCGACATGCACCATAAACACACACCATGTTCAGTTTGATCTTAATTATTGCCACAAAGTTTGGTTTTACTTTTCTTAGTTTGGGCTTAAACTAACAGAAGCCCTTGTTTTCTTTCTCAGCTCTTTACGTTCACTTAAGACATAACCGACTGTATTTATGGGATATTTTGATATAATTCTGTGTGTATTTGTCCATTCGAATGTGTAAGAATGCGAGAAAGAGAGCTCAGTCCAGTGTTCGCGTAGGCTATATAATTTTTATACTTCTACTGTTTATACTGTAAACATTTATACTGATTTATACTTCTGCGTCGGACCTACGCCGTAGGCTATGCGTCAGTTTTCATTTATACTTCTGCGTCGTTGTCCGCGTCAACGTGCAGTACACATGCAAACCGCTAGTCAGCAGTGTCCACGGGCATGTTGCTTTCAAATGTGTAAGAATGCGAGAAAGAGAGCTCAGTCCAGTGTTCGCGTATATAAGAGGCGGCTTTTGTGCGTGCGTTTTGTGTGTGTGTGCAGCACAGAAAACAGCGCGCGAGTGCAGAAGTGAGTTCTATTTGGTCTTCTTGCAGTTGAATCTTTTGAAATCACAATAAAAGCGCATACAGAAATCGAGAAGCAGAATCGAAATGTATAATTTTATAACAAGTAATTTGATTCCTGACCTTATGCATCTGATCTGATTTCCGAAATTGGAATAGCTTTTCGATGCCCAACCCTCCTACTAAATTATTTCATTCTTGCATGCAAAAAGACCTGTATGGTGACAATGGGGCTATGTAAAATATTTTTTACAACTTACTAGATTTATCATTTGTCATTTTTTCCCGATAATGTCGATAATCGTCTGTTACCTGACTGTTGACATCGACATCGCGATACTTACGAGACATCGTCGATAATATCGTCATATCGCCCAGCCCTACTATAAATGTGACTTTGTTTCTTGTAACTGCGATTTTTTTCATAATTGTGATTTTATTTCTTACTTTAAGATTTATCTTATAACTATCTGCTTTGTTTTTCATTCTGAGGTTGAAACAGGCTTATTGTCCATGCATACTGTCTTTGTTGTGAAATTGGGTTGGTCTGTATTCTCTCTGCGATTCGTGGAAGACATCTTTGGCATGCAGCGAGTGTGTGATTGTCACTTCACACACACATAAGGTTAACACTGCGATGAGACCCTGAGCCTTGTAGGTGCCTGGCAAGCTCTCTCAGCAGCACTGAAAAAATATATTTTATTAGACAATTTAAACAGAGCTTATATCCTCCAGAGCAACATCAGAGGGTGCAGAGTCCCCCTGCTGCTTTACAGCATATATACAACCACAAACACATACACACACACCACCTAACCTCATATTCACCCCTGATCCCCACCCAAGCCATCTATAGACAAGCCGACGAGTATGTGAGCATGTGTAGTGTGTGTATCTGCGTTTGGCACCTTATTCCTGTCCTGTGTGTCCACCTCACCAGGTGCCATGTGCTTGAGGAGCAGAGACAGAGGTTTGGAACTCGAGTTTCGGGTTGCCAGGTGTAATGGAGTCATTTCTTCCAGATCCTTTAACCGCCAATCTGCGAGGCGCGACAGTAAGAGTTTCATGAAGCGCACGTTGCCCTGAAAAGCATGTGTACATGCAAAAAAAAAAAAAAAACATAATCAACAACTTTTAACTTTAATCACAAAGCTATTTTTGTCTGTTTGTAAGGAATGGAGGATCACAAACTAATAGATCACAGTCCCAACTCCCAAGCATGAATAACAATCCATTTACCCTAAATTTGTATGCTTTCAAAACAATTTACTACACTATTTAACTATAATTCAGTCAAAGCTGTGGCCAAGTCATTAGGGCACCTGTGAAGACTGATTGAAACCACTAACACTTAAGTTGTTGAGTCTATTTGACTGATCCATTAAAAGAGACGGCTTGTAAGAGTCATTCATTCATGAATCGGACAACACCTGTAAACTCACAACCATTTCAAATATCATTTCTTTTCCCAATTTAAATCTGGCTTCAGTCAAGGTCCAAAATCCTTCTCAAACTATGATTTCAGTTCAGTTAGATTTACTCCAGTGTACCATATGCTTCATATGCTTTCTCATATCTGGGATATCATAACTTAATATGCAAAGGCAGCTATTTGTGAGTTCACTTGCCCAGAAAATGTGACACTGAAGACTGGAGTAATGGCTGCAGAAAATTCAGCTTTGTAATTTTCAATTTGTAAATTGTAGTTATACTTCACAATATTATTGTTTTTGATCAAAAATACAACTAGAACATGATTTCAATTCACTCCCCATTTATATATTTCTTGCGGAAAATGTTATAAGCTTGTGAAGTTTGTAATTTTTTTCTATGGAAGAAAACTTACTCCTATTTGGGATTCCATAACTTAATATCCAATGTATTTGCTCGAGTAGTTTGTAAAAAAAAAAAAAAAAAAAAAAAAACACTGTGGGGTATCAAAACATTGCCAAAATATCCCAACCAGCTCAACACAGCAACACTGGCATGATTTTAGGTGACACTATCTGTTTGCCCAACCAATGGTAGACAGAGGGAGTATTTGGGGGAAATGCCTGACTGACAAAATCATTACTTTTACAAATTCACTTACTGTCTCTAGAAATTAAATTACATATTTCACCTTTAAAGTCAGCATGAAATGAAAATTTGCTCTATCTATTCTCTAAATGCATTATATTTATCTTATTGTGAATAATTCATTCATGCATATGTTTCATTTTATACATTTTTTAGACCTCGATATTTTTTATTAAAAAGTAATCTCAGTCTTCCAGTAAAATGACAGACTTCTCTCTGGTGATGTATACTGGACTTCTCTAATCATTTCGTCCGCTTAAACCCTTTGAATCTTAAATTCAAACTCAAGCTTGCATTCAGATCTGCCTCCATCCAACCAACAGCTGATGGATAGAACCAAGTCCCTACCCAACTATTTTCTTGTGCAAAAATCTGTTTAACTTGGATGTACATCACCACACAGAAAAAACATCTACCACTACTTTCCAATAGACTTACCTATTATCTATACTTCATCTGCATTTTACTAAAATGACAAAGCATCCAAAGTCAGCAAAATAATGAAATAAAGTGATGAAGAAAGTGCTTTGTGTCACCCAGGGACGTTATTTTTGGGTCGCGATTTTGGAGTAGAGACGGCTGTTTATCCATCTAAAGGGTCTGAAATGTGTCTGAGTGTGAGCAGCCCTCCCCTCTCATCAAATATCCTCCCAGGCCTCCTTAGCTCCCGTGTAAAACATTCTGGGGAGAGCCCTCGTGTGTGTGTGTGTGTGTGTGTGTGTCAGGGTTCTCAGTCTCTATTCCCAGCCCAATTAGAGTGTTAATCCCTGAGCTACAGCTCTTATTGATCTAGATGTCAGAGTGTTAACCATCAATTCCGTTCCTCCCTGTCTTCCTCTCCTCACACTCTTCTCCTTTCCTCTCCACTGTGCTCTGCTTTTCAATCCTCTTCTCTTGTCTCATTCAAATGGTCCCGTTTATTAAGTCAAAATAACGTAACACACATACAAGCGCTCTCATATTCAAATCTTTAGGAGAAATGTGTCAACACCACAAACACTAGAGGGCAGTAAACCCTAACAACACCAACCCTTTGTAAGTGACTATCAGAATCAGGGTCAGCTCAGAGACAGACAGCTGTGTGTGTGTGTGTGTGTGTGTGTGTCACCTTCTGTGCTGCAAGGTGCAGTGCGGTCCTCTGACTGTGGTCAGTCTTGTTGACGGCTGCGCTGGCCTTAAGTAGCACCTCTGCACAGTCCAAGCAGTCGGCCAGCACACAATACATCAGAGGAGTCCGGCCGAACTGATCCTCACTGTCCCGCAGACGAGACTCTGCTGCAGACACAAAGCACACACACATACATAACCCTAGTCAACCTTAACCTATTACTGAAATCTCTCTTTAATATATAAGGAAATATGGGTGAGTGATATATTGAATATTAACAGTATATTCATGACGATTTTCCTGGCGATATAAAACTAAGTAACACGGCAATGAATTTAATGGGCTTTTTGTGTGGTTCTTAAGTTTACTAGGAACGCCACCATTTATGCTACCCAGGTGATGTACTGCATCTTTAAGGATTGTGAAGCGTGAACCAACCTACACTTTGCTATCCCATAAGGCCATTTGAGTTAAAATTGAAAATATGAGGATTGTGAGCCAAGCAGGCTCTTTTACAGATTTATTTCCCCCATAAATTGCTAAATAGTACTTGTTGGTACCCAAACAAATTATCTACGTGGTTGTACTTAGTACATCATACGTTTAAAAAAAAACATACAGGTCTGAGGACAATACAACATGGCAGATGTAATATGTCAGAGAATATATTTATATTCAAGAAAGTACTTCAGTGGTCCAGAAGTAAGGTCTTGTAAGAATTCAGCACATTCTTCAAAAGTATTATGTATATAAATGAAAATCAATAAAGATTTTTTTTAACTAGGTTTTCACTGCATTTTAATTCCCATATTAAAAATGTTTTAATCTACTTTGTACAATGACTGTTTGGTTGAATAAAATACAGTTCTTAAGCTATTTCAAAGTGAATGTACATACTGAATATCATCAAAAAAATGAAAAATATACACTACCATTCAAAAGTCTGTAATCTTTCTGATCAGTAAGATTTTTTTTCTCCAGAAATTAATACTTTTATTCAGTAAGGATGCATTAAATTAATCAAAAGTACCATTAAATTCATAATATTTCATAATAAATGCCTTTCTTTTGAACTTTCTTCTTTATTCATCAAAGAATCCTGAAAAAAAGTATCATGATTTCAGCAAAAACATTAAGCAAAACAACCGTTTTCAACATTTTTTTTAACAACAAATCAGCTTATTAGAATGATTTCTGAAGAATCATGTGACAATGAATAACTGAAAATTCAGCTTTGCCATCACAGGAATAAATACATATAAAATATATTTCACATATTACTTGTATTATTCATATGACTGTTTTTACTGTATTTTTGATCAGATAAATGCAGCTTTGGTGAGCATAAGAAACTTCTTTCAAAAACATTCAAAAACCTACTGATCACAAACATTTAAATGGTGCTGTATATATCGCACAGCCTTACATGGAATACATAGTGAAGAGCATTATGAGCACTGGGATATGTGTGATACCTGTGATCAGTCTCTGTAAGGTGTTCTTGTCTCCATTCACAGCAGCCGCATGCACCTGAGATGGATTCTGGGGGAGCAGCATCGCCTGGTGCACACACACACACACACATCAGCAGTCATGCACTGTGCTCACACAGAGGCCAAACATCACGATTATAGGGCTTGAATCTAAACTCACTCTTTCTGAAATGAGCTTTGAATGGTGACCAAACCAACCATTACATCCACTCGCAGTGGTTCAGCCGGAATGCTGGGTAATCCTTAGACAGGAAGTAGCAGGGAGGGGGCAAATCCCCCACTGGGACACACCCTGCCCAACTCATCTCTTATTCATGCTCATCAATATTGCAAGAGATTAAAAAAAAATCAATTACATACACAAATCCATGATAAATGTGTGTGAAGCGTGTTTATGACCGCAGAAATGACTTTTTCAATGAGCGCTATAACCCATTCATGCAATTCCCTTTTTCTTTGCCATTCTTTCCCGTCACACACAACTAATTAGCTGCTCTGTTCTCACGCACCTCGTGAGAGGGTAATTGGGGTTAGTTAATGCAGACTCATAAAACTACTAAGAGTTACAACTACTTCAGTAGCATGTGTGTTTGTGTGTGTATGTTCTGATTAAAGCCTTTAAATGCTCTCCAATACACTATAATTCAGCTTTATATGACTCCACGTCGTTTAACGAAGGAAATCAGACATCACAAAAAAACGCGCGCGCGCACACACACACATAGTCTGCTTTTGGAATCACAATGTGGAAAAAAGACAGCAGGGGGGTGCCTTTGAGAAAGGTGTGCATGTGAGGGAAGAGCTCTATCTGTGTATTTTTCGAGCGTGTTTATGTCCGACTGCACGGTAGTGTGATCGCGTGGGAAGTGATTTTCCGTGAGAGAAGGTTTTTATGGAGGCTTCGCTCATATCAACCACAAGCTTTCCTCAATTTCCTCCAGACTAGGACGCACACATACATGCAAACACACACTGGGGCTTAACAACAAAAATGCCTGGCATACAAATCAAACGACTTTCTCTCAAACGTGAAATAAAAGGGATTCAGACTTGGTTAAAAAGAAGCTGGTAATTTTCAGGTAATTTTGTGAATGTTAAATGTTAATATGTTTTTAAATCAATTTTAAAAAATGGAGAGATGAAATCAATTATAAATTATAGTGGCATTATATTGATGATCATTTGAATGGTGCATACTCTTTTTGACTAATTTAATTAGCAAACTTTGCTATTGTAGAATATTACAACTTCAAATTCAAGTGCAAATTATCTCAACTAGCTAATAATTCAATTAAATAACATTTAAACTAATAATAATCTTTTTTTTTTTTAAATACAGCATCTGTCATTATTGGTTTTTTTTACCTTGAACTAGAACTTTTATAATTATTAGTTTAAAATAAAGTTTCAGACAAAGTGAACAAATATATGTTATAGAGATACAAAATAACTGATTTAGATTTTCATTTTTCCATTGAAACTCTGGAACACATTAAGGATTCATGCAATGTGCACAAAAAGGAGAGCACTTAATCTTAAATGTGTGTGTGTGTGTGTGTGTGTGTGGGCAAGCATCCAGCTTGTCTAGCCCAGCCAAATGACTCCCCACCAGCATCTTATTGAACAACCAGCTGAGTCAGGATTTAGGAAGAAAGAGAGACAGAGAAGAAGGAAAAAGAAAGAATAATGAAGAACAAACCACAACAGGGTCAGAAGTTGAGCTGTGTGCACATTTGTCAGTAAAGCAGTATCTGGCATTGCAATAGCAGATCTGTATGATTCACATCATCCTCTCGCTTTCCAAAAACACAGCTTTTTTTTTTCAAATCCCTTCTAAGTATCTCGCTGAGAGACATCGGTCCTTTCATCTAATGCCCAGAGGGCAAATCCTCCATACTTTCTCCAAAGAGAAAGGGCTCCAAGCTGTGAATGCATGCAAGCATCCCTGCGGATGCCATCCGTAGTGTGTCTTGACTGACATGATCACCTTGTGTCTCATTAGCCGTGGTTTCCCATTATGCCAAGCGACAAATGAGCCCCTCTGGTGAAGGAGGTGTGGCTTCCAATGGGCAATGTAATGCAATTATGTAGTTCCAAAGATGTCAGTCACAACAAAAACATGTTTAAAAACAAATTAAATAATACGCACCGTCTAACATGTCTGACATCTAAGATGTATAGCATACTGCACATAAATGCAGGAAAATAAGTGGTGAAAAGATGTGCATTTAAGAGTTCTGTGCATACACACACACACACACACACACACACAAACAATAACAAACAAACCACTTTCTATTCAGTTTTGGTATTAAAATAAAACATAACTGTATGCATTGGCTTTTATTGTTCAGTCACATTCTACCATAAACAGATTTCTACATCATTCATGAGTATAAATCAAGAAATTAGAAAGAAACTCATATTTTAAATATTATTTATAACAATCAATCCACTTTGTTTATTCCTGTGCATTGACTTGGAAATTGAATTGTTTTGATTTTATTAGTTTAGCATTATACTGTTTATTGTTTTGTTTCCTTTTTATATTGTACTCTAGCACTTTGAGTGTGAGAAAGGCACTTTATAAATAAAGCATATTATTAGTGTTATTATTATTATTCAATACTAATATTATCACAATTCACAAATAAAAGTCTGTATGAGTAGTGTGCAGTGGACTTTTGAAGTCCCCTATCTGCATTATATCATAATAATATTATTTTATTTATTATTAAATTAGAATAATATTATTATATTTATATTATTTTTATAATAGGTCACATCAAGTGGTTTTTAAAATATAATGAAATAATATTTACAATAATACAGTAAAAAGCATAGTTAAAGCATATTTTGTATTTATATACTTTATTTGGTACTTACTGCTGCTTTGCTATTATTAATAGTCAAATAAAATAGTCATTTTGAGATTCAAGTTATTAAAATTCAAATGTTACTGAAAGTAGTAATGTCACAACCGAGCAGGTTACGTGGCCAAAGATGGCCTGAATGAGTCCAACTGCTATGCATTTCATGGCCATCATCTCACTGGCAGCGTAATCAGCCAATCACAGTGATGTGGAGGCACTCCCTATCATTTACACCATGCTTTAGGACCTCTATGAGACCACAATGACCTGATGGGAGGCAAATGTTATGCTGCCTATTTGATATGATCATTTGTACTTAACTTTTAGTACAAAAAAATACAGTGCCATCTCAAAAAAAAAATGGCAGTAGTCACTGATAAACAGGCTAGTGGTGGCTCTCTAAAGTAGGACAGCAGTGATTTGAACTGATCCGAAGACTGAAAAACGGCACGGTCTGAGTCCCCGAAGCACACTTGGGCTGTGTTGCTCTGATAGGTCTCTTGGGGGCCAGACTCATAGTGAGGGGGAAGTATTATGGCAGACCCTTTCTGACATCTCTAATGAGGCAGCCTAGAGAGAGATATCTCTTTTCCACCCTCCCGTTCTTTCTCTCGCGCTCCCCCTTCTCTGTATCTCCGTTCCTTGCTTTCTCTCTTCACCATCTACTCACATAAACATGCACACAGACACACACACAGCCCCTTTTAAGTATACTTTTAAATCTCCTAATACGTAATACAATACTCATTCTGACTCTTACCATGATGGTGAAGTCCAGGAGGCAGGGGAGGCCTCAGCAGATGTTACCCAGCTAAGTGAAGCCTTGCTGGGCTTGGCGTAGGCACAGATCCCCCTAGCAGCTCTGATCTAGCGTTCTGCAGGAGAGAGAGCGGATCACTCACACACAGAGCACAAACCACCTGCTCTGACCTACTGTGCCAAACATTACCAGTGCTCGATGCCAAGGCCGACTTACAGGAGTGGACTGACATAAAACGGTCAAACAACACTGGAGTCTTGCAAGAAACTATAGCCCACATTGACTTTTTGACACATTGAAATTTTATTTTTTAACTACTTACAGCTGACAGCTATGTAATATAATATTATAAGATTAATAGAAATTTAATCTGCCATATTTATTTTTATTGACACATCCTGGTAGTCATAATTGAACATAATTGAAATTTAATGGAAGTTCTCTGTTGTGTGTAATTTAAATAACAACTTTATCTCACATTTTTCTCTTAAAGCCATTCAGAAGAAATCATAACAGGCACAAATTAGTTGTTGACAGAAAGTGACACTATTATGCTTAATCTGGATAACAAAGCTCTAATATTTACATTTTGAGAGAAATTAATGACATTTGTTTTAGTTCATAATGATATCTCGAACACTGGTACCTTAGCAAATCTGAGCTCAATTTGAGACATTGTATATGCATATGCATAAATAAAACAAATAGAATCAAAAACTGTACAACAATAAGAAACCATTCTACCAGCTCATACACTTTTTTCAAACTAATGCACACTGTGCCTGAATAATTATTTTTACAGTTTGTTTATTTAGGTTGCACGTGGTGGGTTTGGATTGGTAGATAAATCACTAAAACAAAGTCAAGTATATGAATCAGCTGCAGTATTCACTGACATCTTCATGAACACTTTGTGTCCAAGCTGCAAATAATTAAACAACAATTTTAACAAATGCAAACATAGTTACATAACTGCTATAATACTTCTACAACAACAAACGGCTGTGCCAGTGATTCATACAATGAATAATGTATAACTTTTAATGTGTTTGCATTTTAGCTTGATTGCTAAATACTATAAAATCCCCGTTATACAGTTGGGAAACGATGATGCAACTTACCACATTCAAGGTGAAACACAATTAATCTGATACTTCTATCTCTGACTTCAAACGTTACAAACTTTTCCAACGCACTGCAGTGTTTTCGCAGTTTTCATACTTTTCGGAACTTCGTTCCCGCTCTTGGTCAATGATATTCCAAAATATCTTGAGACCGCAAACACATCTGGGCACGTAGGTAAATAAAACTACAAATACCATAGGTCACATTCTCACCATACGGTCTTTAAAGGGACTTGTAGTTTTTAATGAACAAAATGTAGTTGATTGAACGACCCCCTTCCCAATAAGAAACTACATTTCCCACAATTCTCTAAAACCCGGAATCCCAGTTCCCGTAGTGCTGGCCGTATGTACTGCCCGTTTCCTGCAACAGAGGAGAAGGAGGTGGTGTCGAGAGACTTGCAAGATTCAACAACATCGCAACCTCAACCAACACCACTATACAATGAAACTATCATCAATAATACCCGCTCCCGAACTGCGCTACTTCACCCTCCTGCTGGTATGTGGCTGAGTAATCGCGCGCTCTTTCAGTAACACACTTTTCGCAGGTTTACTTCGGATAGCTAGCTCATATAACGCTAGCTATTGGAAGGGGTTTATGGACTTGGATGTGATGCTCTTGATTTACATCGGTAATTAACGGGTGATGATTATGAGGTCTTCAGATTTGGAACAACGGTTGACTTTTACTATGTCATTTCTGAACAATAGGTCTAATGGCCTATGATGAATGTAGGTTAGCTACAGAAAGTGCTAAACAGCTGGCTAGTGTGGCTAACCAGCTATTAGAGTTACAGGACTTGTAGTAATGATGCAGCTGCAAGTATGGGACGTTTTGAGAGTTAATACTCTGTTGGCCAACTATTCCCATTTAATGCACAACCACACTTGCACATAAACACGCCAACTTGCATGGTCATTTAGAGTGTTTGCAAGCAAACTAAGGGTCATTCAATCATACAGCCTTTATTTTTAGCAGTTTCAAATACAGTGTTGAAAGGGCCAGGAGAGTTTTGCTCCCTAGTGTAGATAATGACGCAAATATAGGAGTTTTGGATGAATATGGCACCATGTCACTCACAACGCAAGTTTGGGAAAGTCCTTTAACAAATGAATTAAGCACTTTAAATCGGTTTTTAACAATAGGAGCCATACAGTTTTCAGGTGTCAACAGTGATCTGTATAGTCCTAAAGTAAAGAGAGGGATATTTTGGGATTCATTTCATCCGACTTTACAGAGAAGAAACCGGTTGGAGAACTTCTCTGTTGTGGCCGAATCCTATTGGCTGTCAACCCGGAAGTGACCCGCGCTGCTCCGCTCAGCACAGCGTGATGTGAAAACCACAGCAGCGGTATCTTTGCTGTCAGTGTGGTACATTTTAACAAGCTTTTAATTTCTCTTCGATTGAATTTTATCAGGCCCAGCATACTGGTTCATGATCATATATTATGATATTTGGTATTTTTTCCTTTGTGAAAGTAGTATCTATCACACCAGAGGTAGTTAGCTTGAGATTGACCTCTAAGAGCTTCTTTCAGTGTTTTATTAATCATTTCAATAACATGAGTGAAAATGCTTGTAATCCCGTCACAGTGCATACTTGTGTCGTGTGATATAGTTTGTTCCTCACTCCGATATTGTTTCAAAGCAACTTCATGATGGCAATAAATACATAAAACCAATTTTGCCTGATAAGGGTGAAATACAGTGTGAGGCATTACAGATTTGTTTATGATTTCAGCCTATTTTAACCAATGTTTCCAGGGTTATCACAAGTCATTCTCACAAACGTCAGCTAGCTACATAACACTACTTTGATGACATATTGAAGGTTACAATAAAACATAAGTAGCGACAGATCATTTCTTCCATATTGTGATGTACACTTGAGTGTAACAGATTACCAAAAAGAAAAATATCTATAACATGCATTTAGAAAGTAAATGGGGTGGATTTTCATTTCATGCCGTCTTTAAATAAAAGTCATTTTTGCATAACAGAAATCAAAATGTTTACGTTGGTGAAGCATAACCCATTCCCTCCAAGGACGAAAACTATATAGATTTTATTCTGTGAGAATCGTGAAGTCCACACCACAGCTGGAACAATATAGTTGGAATCATTGTCAGAGCAATTTTTCTTTTTTTCAGCTGATAAATTATAAAAATTGGAATCATCCAACTTTAAAGAGCTCAAGCATTTAAAGCGGCAGATAATCTGTAGTGAGCGCTAATAATAACCAGAATTGTATGGTCTGTTGGTGTGGACACTAATATAGTTATCGTTTTTTGTGTGAATGGGCCTTAATTCTTTCACCAACCCTGTGTTTTACCCATGAACTGAGACTGCAAGTCAAGTCAAGTCAAGTCAAGTTTATTTGTACAGCGCTTTTCACGATACAAATCATTGCAAAGCAACTTTACAGCAAATTAAGTTTCTACAATATTTAGTGGAAACTTATCAGTGGTGACTGTCAATTAATGTACATATGGCAGAAATGTACGGAAAAATCAATTTAAGACGTAATAAAAAAGACGATGAACACTATTAACAGCAATTATAAAATAATTAAATGTGCAAAATAGCAAAATGTGGTAGTTCTGTATGTTGTTTCAGGGTTGGCATCATCTCTTCTCAGGTGTTCTGGATCCAGACTGAAGCTTATGTCAATCCCGTGGCAAAAACAGAGAAACAAATAGAGACATAATTAGCGTAGCTGCTGTTCCAACCAAGCAAAATTGATTTGTTTAACCCAAACTAAAGAATAATAATGTGCATTTGATCAGATATAACTGCAGTACAAGATTACGAGATGCATTATTTGAATGCTTGGCCAAAGAGATGTGTCTTTAATCTAGATTTAAACAGAGAGAGTGTGTCTGAACCCCGAACATTATCAGGAAGGCTATTCCAGAGTTTGGGAGCCAAATGCGAAAAAGCTCTACCTCCTTTAGTGGACTTTGCTATCCTAGGTACTACCAAAAGTCCAGAGTTTTGCGACCTTAGGGAGCGTGATGGATTGTAGCGTGGTAGAAGACTAGTAAGGTACGCAGGAGCTAACCCATTAAGGGCCTTATAGGCAAGTAATAATATTTTGTAACTGATACAGAACTTAACAGGTAGCCAGTGCAGAGACTGTAAAATTGGGGTAATATGATCATATTTTCTTGACCTGGTAAGGACTCTAGCCGCTGCATTTTGGACCACCTGTAGCTTGTTTATTGAAGATGCAGGACAACCACCTAGCAGTGCATTACAATAGTCCAGTCTAGAGGTCATGAATGCATGAACTAGCTTTTCTGCATCAGAAACAGGTAACATATTTCGTAACTTGGCAATGTTTCTAAGATGGAAGAATGCTGTTTTTGTAACATGGGAAATATGATTTTCAAAAGACAAGTTGCTATCTAATATAACACCCAGATTTTTGACTGTAGAGGAAGTAACCGTACATCCGTCTAGTTGCAAATTGTAATCCACGCAGATAATACAATAAACTGCAGCATACAATAGAAAAATACTCAGGAACTTCAGGATGTGAAAAATGTGAATTTAGATGTAGAACCTGCTGATCAAACCTTCGTTTGTTTATCTGAGTAGAAACTCCCCATATTAGAGCTGGGAAAGTCCTTGTGATGAATCTTATTAAGAAATGGATATGCATGTGACCAAATTTGTTTACCGAAAAAACATGCCATATGTTGGGTCTAGCTGTGATTTTGTACTTTGTGATCTGAGCGGTTGAGATCATCCCATGTGGAGCCATGTGTTTGTTTTGTTTCTGTGGCTGTGTTGTGACAGTTGGAGACTTGAGTTCTCTGAGAGATTAGCTATTGAATTTAGGCAGTGTTGTTTAGCAGATGCCAGTTTTGTTGAGGAGGATCACATATGCCTCAGTGTGTGTTTGATATTATTTTAGTCTGAGCGTTTTTTTCTTAAAATAGTCTTATTATTTGATCATGGACTTTAAGACACTACACTAGTGTGAGGAGGTCTGCATCTTATAATTTGCTGTCAGTCTTGCAGTTCAGTGTTTTTCACTTGTCAAGTAAGTTTGTTTCTCAGTGTTTATTTAAGGAGGGGTGAAGATGTCCGTCATATAGGTTTATACCTGTCATCAGACTATCTTTGACACAGTGAGTCAAACAGGATGTAGTGAAATGTAGCAACAGCAGACTCATCCATCCAGCCAGCCTCTTTAACACGTGGCATTATCAAACTCTGTTCATGGTCTCTTTTGGATTTATCACATATGTTAGATAGCCACGTTACTCGGCTTCAATGAACTTTGGTAGTGATGTGATCATTTCAGAGTAATAACACAAAACATGTATTTGCTAGATTATTCATACCACCCAGAATCAGCCAGACTAATACCAGACTAATTATGCAACTTGCTGCAATTAATTGTTATGATTGGCAAATGAATTGTGTTTTTCTCATGTCAATTACAGTGGTAGACACTCATCTTAAGACACCATTTATGAAGTGAAATTGTAAACAAATATAATGTAACATTTCTGTTAAGTTTTAGTAAACAAACATTCTAATATAAAAATAAATAAATACATATGCGTACATAGTCTACACTACCGCTCAAAAGTTTGGGATCAGTAAGACTTGTAATGTTTTTTAAAGAAGTCTCTTATGCTCATCAAGGCTGCATTTATTTGATCAAAAATACAGAAAAAAACAGTAATCTTGCTAAATGTTATTACAATATAAAATAATGGTTTCTATTTTAATATACTTTAAAATATCATTTATTTCAGTGATGCAAAGCTGAATTTCCATCAGCCATTGCTCCAGTATAAAGTGTCACATGATCCTTAAGAAATCATTCTAACATGCTGATTTATTATTAGAATGATCAATGTTGGCACTGCCGTTCAAAAGTTTGGGATCAGTAAGATTTGTAATGTTTTTTTAAATAAGTCTCTTATGCTCATCAAGGCTGCATTTATTTGATCAAAAATACAGAAAAAAACAGTAATCTTGCTAAATGTTATTACAATATAAAATAATGGTTTCTATTTTAATATACTTTAAAATATCATTTATTTCAGTGATGCAAAGCTGAATTTCCATCAGCCATTACTCCAGTATAAAGTGTCACATGATCCTTCAGAAATCATTCTAATATACTGATTTATTATAATGTATTATTATTAAGTCTTACTGATCCAAAACTTTTGAGCTGTAGTGTATATTAAGGCTGTCAAAATTAGCGCGTTAATAACGCATTAACGCAAATTCATTTTAACGGCACTAATTTTATTAACACGTGATTAATGCAGCGTGCATTTTCTGTTGCAGGGTTTCCGCGGGTCCTTAAAAGGTCTGAAATTTAGTTGTATCATATTTAAGGCCATAAAAAGTCTTAAATGGTAGGCTACAAGAAAGTCTTAATTATGATTTCAAGAGGTGGTAAATTTGGGGACGGAAAGACAAGAATTGCAATATGGCTTAATGTGCCGATTTAACTTCAAAAGGCGATGATTTCATTGAATAAAAATGAGCGCTGCATGTTTCAAACTCAGCTGCTGCTGCTTTGTTTACAGTCGGAGAAACCACTATATTTCTGCCGTTCTGACAGCGCCATCTGCTGGCAGAGAATGAATTTGCATTTTCAATAAGCCCATCTGCTGTTTCTGTTCAGACCAATACATACATCCACCCATGTTTTTATGCAGCAAACACGCAGTTGTAAATGTGAACTGGTAGATCGATAAGAAGATAATGCATTATAAAAATCTAAACAATTAAGCCAGTAAAATATAGTTATATGTTATTTAATATAATAATTAATTGATGATAATTGTTTGAATTAATATTATAATTGATACTTTTGACTTTTGATTCAATTTCTTAAAAATGGTTTAAAAAACTTTTTGTTTTTGTGAAAACCTGTATCTTGAATTCTTTATGCTCTGTTGAGTATGGTTTCACTAATAATTAACATACATTTGTATAAAGCATCCATAAGGGTTGGGCGATGTCTACCAAATTGGCATCCGACGATGTCTACAGTGAAACATCGTGATGGACATGAAAGTTCACTTACCACATACACAGAGTAAGGAGAGATGACTGATAGGACAATGGCGAATGATTTGCAGATACTGAGCACCACTGACAAATATCTAATATTGTAAAATGTGTGGTAGCGGCAGATGATCGCGAATCACGTAAGTGAAAGTAAAATGAGAGCGCACTTTCGAAAGTGGTTTCAATGCCCTGCATATTAGTAGCGGCTCCCTAGGGATTGTAGGTGGGGGGAGGGAATGTACAGCACTCTCTCCCACCTTCAATACCACGACTGAGGTGCCCTTGAGCAAGGCACCGAACCCCCAACTGCTCCCCGGGAGCCGCAGCAAAAAATGGCTGCCCACTGCTCCGGGTGTGTGTTCAATGCTGTTTTTTACCAATGAACTTTGGATGGGACAAATGCAGAGCCCAAATGGCTGCCCACTGCTCCGGGTGTGTGTTCACGGTGTGTGTGTGTTCAATGCTGTTTTTTACCAATGAACTTTGGATGGGACAAATGCAGAGCACTATCTATCAGCCCAACCCTAACATCCATGTTGATTAGAGTATTAACAACTTAAAAAGTATTAATTTAAGGTACATTTAGAACAGATAAAAATGTGCAATTAAGTTGTGATTAATCATGAGTTAACTCATGACTATCATGCGATTAATCGCAATTAAATATTTTAATCAATTGACAGCCCTAATATATATATATCTATAATGCTTAGTATATTATTAAATATTAATGTGTTATGTATTAGTATTATTATACAAAAATATGGTAATAATATTAATTTAGTATAAATTTAGTAGTATATTGCATGTGTAGAATCAGCCAGACCAATGATATGACATGGCTTTATTTAAAAAAATTTTTTAGCTTTTCTGTAATTTATCAAAATTCTCTTATTTGAGTGGTAGTATGTGATTAGAATTTAAAGTACACAATGATCACGGTTATTTTACATGATCACAGTTAGATTAGATCATGGGAATTTATCAGTTTTCACTGTTGGGCTAAATGTACTTTCCTATTAAAGGGGCCTTTTGGGAAAAAAACAAGAAGTTGGAGAAATAGAAAATGGTTTGTTTAAAAAGGTTTTCTTGGTGAAACATCTATTGTTGATAAGAGACTTAAGACTCATTCTTATAGCTACTAGACACTAGAGTTTAATCATTAATCTAAGAGTCCAGTGGTAAATCCATAAAAGAATTGATCTGATAGATAATTAAATATAATATATGATAGATAATTAAGATGGAGTACAATTCAGTAGAGGTTAGCGATGGAGTAGCACTCTTCAAATGAGCTTTACAAACAAAAACAGGTCAGCAAAGATTCACTTTCCATTTGTCAATTAATATCCCATCTCTCAGAAATTTTTAGCTATGAATGACGTGTTAGATCTTTAATGATTTTGCCTGGACTGATAGCATCAGTTTTCCTGTTTGTCATTCAAATAAACAACATCCTAGTCTGACTTTTCCCATTTGCAAATGTGTTCTGTTTAATGCTAGTAATTTGATGGTGATGTTATTAGAATAAATAGGTAATCATCAGTTTCCTTCTTAGTCTGTTCTACACATATATGAACCTTCTTGGTACTTTGCTCAGTTCTATTTGTATGAACATAAAAACATTCAACAACCGAGACATAAACTGAGCAATTTTCACAGATATTTGGTGGACAGAAATGAAATAATGAATCCCTGAACAAAACGGGGGTCGATATCAAAACCTTTTGACCTTAATTGTTTACTGCTTGTAAACTGTTAGTGTTTACAGGTGCATGTGCAATAATTGTTTGTTTGTTTGTTTACTTTTGTTTTATAAAATAAGAAAATATGTGTTTATTTATTAGTAAGAAAGAAGTAACATTGCAAGAGTGAAAACGTAAAAAGTTCTGCAAAAGAAAAAAAATGGGGCATTCTAAACAAAGTTATGGTGGTAAATTAAGTGGAGGTTGTTAAAAGATGCATGAGTCTCAGATGTTTGATAGACCTCTACATTTGAATCACTTACATCACTTACACCGGAAGATCAGATTATCGTTCTTATAATTCAACTTAGCCTATAACATTTTTGTTCTTAACTGAGGGCTTGCCTAGTATTCATTTTGGACCCTGCATTAAAGCTGGTGATTTTTGTAAGAGAGATTATAGATTATCAATATGACTGTCCAAAGATAATGATTTATCACTGTAACTACCGACATGCACACATTAACCTTTTACCAATGAACCACCTCTGTTGTTGGCAGGTAACGGGTCTATATACTCCAGGAAGAGGAGAGATCACCAGTCTGGATGCTGGAAACATCGATGACATCCTTAGTGAGTTCTCACCATGTTTGAAGGAGGCTGTTTCATCAGTAGTTTCAATCAGACAGTTTACTGCACCTGTGTCGTGCATGTGGGAGTGAGTTATCTAATGGCGCTTTGTCATTGTAGTAGATCAAATGAAATTAAACCACACGTTTCTCTCCACAGACAATGCAGGGGTGTCTCTAGTCAACTTCTATGCAGACTGGTGAGTGTTCCAGATGTGTGTTTGTTAGAAAGGGTAATGAGAGTTCCCCATATGGGTAGATGACATGAATACTTAACTAAGTTGAGGAATGAGGATGATGATATACCAAAAAGCATTAGGCTTGTAACCATACACGATTCAGTTCGATACACAGTACTGAGATCACAATACAGTACTTAGTTAAAATGGTAAGGTTTCTTTGATTATTACTTCTACGACGTATAATAAACAGTTAGCCAAAAGTACTGTTCATTAACCAGAATAGAAATATTCCTGATTCTGCTTAGCTAAAAACACTGAATTATGATAGTTTTTAAAAATTTATTAATAATACATTTAATAAACATGGAATGTCTAAACTTTCATTTTTGGGTGAACTACACACAATACGTATTGTCGCCATCCATGATACATATTATTGCATTTTCGCATTGCGATATATTTTGACACAATATCTTGTTACACCCCTAAATTATATTATTATTATTCAAATACCTTTATTGATCAATCATCATTGATTACTAATTAAGAGACTACATGGGATATTGGTAAAATATTTCTACTTAAAAATTAATTTTTTTATACAACAAAACCATTTAAAATGGTAAAATGACAAAAACTATTTTTCAAAGAAATTGTGAGCATTTATTGGATCTTAAGTATTAATAATAGTAATAATAATATATTATTATTATTATTATTCATGCCACTTTAAAATATATATATATATATATATATTTGTTAAACCATTTAAAAGAGTAAAATGGTCAAAAAGTGAATAAAAATCAAAAACATTTTAAAAGAAATTTAAGCATTTATAGGATCTGAAATATACACTTTAAACTAGGCATGGGCCGGTATGAGATTTTGACGGTATGATAACCTTAAGCAAAACTATCACGGTTTCATGGTATCACGGTATTGTTGTTACAGCTCTAAAATGTGTTATTTTTAAATGACTGG